ATGGCCCAGAGCCAGTAGTGCAACGGAGACGCCTACCGCACTAAAACCACCGGGAGTGGCCACCTAATCGCGCATTGTGGGGGCCATCTGGGAAATACAACGCAAAACTCCAGATGGCCCCCGCGTCACGCTTGTATCGCGCTCATCTTAGTCCCCCCCTTGGGGGGGGGACCTAGGCCATTTATTCGGCCTTCTCCTCGTTGTTTGTTATGCGGCAGGGGTGCCACCAGGCCCCTGCCGCGCCCCCTTGGTGTTGTGGGGGCGGGTGGGTCGCGGGTCTCCAGCCCGCGCCCACCCCCTGGTGCTCACTGAATTGCACTGAGCTCCTGCCTTCTCTTGCTCCCTATCGGGAGCACTGGGGGGGGGGCGCAGGTAGCAGGCGACCCGACGCCGCCCCTAAGGGCGAAGCCGGACGTCCCACGAATCCCGCGCCCCCCCCAGAGCTCCTCTTCTACATTCTATGTATGTAGTCCTTCTGGGAAGGGGGGAGGGCGGCCTCCGTGAAGCCGCCGTCCCCCCCCCCCGCAGGCTATTCTCTTGTCCCGTCCCGTCTTTACCGGGTCAGGCTCCACTTCCGCAGGTGTGCGGGGATACCTCTCCTCACTCTTCTTGCCCCCGCTCCCCCACCTTGTGGTGCTGTAGGTGTTACTTCCCCTCTCCGCACCCGCTCAGCCTCCTCCTTCTGGAGCATAACATGCTCACAGAAGGAGGAGAAAGCCTCCCATTTGCTCCTATCCCCCGTTACAGCAGATATTACCGCCCCGGGGGACAGGTCCAGCCCTATCCTGTCGATAAGGACTCGGCGCTGTGCATCCCACTCCGGACACTCTTCGAGTGTATGCTGCGCCGAGTCCTTGTCTGCGCCACAATGGTGGCACTTCTCCGTCGCCTCGTGTCCTATCCGCCGCAGGTACTCACCGAAGCAACCATGCCCGGTGAGCACCTGCGACGTCCTATACGAGGCCCTCGCCCACGGGCGCTCTAACCACGCATCGAGACACGGGAGGATGGCTTCTACGGTACGCTTACCCGGAGTGTTAGGCCCCGATAGTCGCGACCGCCACTCCTCCCGCGTCTCCCTCCTAGCCTGGGCTCCGAGGAGCCTTTTCACCCTCGCCGTGACCGGAACGCCTTGCCCCCGGAGTTCCCTGGTGCGCCGGTACACTTGAGCGTACCCGGCCGCCACCAGGTCAAGGGGCGGCATCCCGGCCATCAGCGTGGCCGCCGTGTGGGATACCGTACGGTACCCCCGTATGGCTCTTATGGCCATTCGCCGTTGGGCCCCCTGAGGATCGCAAGAGATTTCCTGCTCCTCCTGAGGGCCCCCGCCCACACGGGGGCACCGTACGTAGCCATCGAAGAAAGCACGTTGGCGTAAAGCCTTCTGGTCTTCCCACACGGCCCGCCCAGATTGGGCATTAGTCGCGATAGCGCGTTTCCCGCGCTGTCCAATCTGGGCACCAGTTTGCTGAAATGCTCCTCGAAGCCCCAGCGTCCGTCTATGTGGAGGCCCAGATATTTTATCTGGGCCCCCACTTTTATGTCCTCGCCATCCACCCCGATTCGAGCTTCGGGTGGCGGCCCGGCCGAGCCGTCATGAAAGAAGACGGCCTCGGTCTTTCTGGCCGCCACCTTCAGCCCCAATGCCCTGACGGCCCTCGTCGCGCAGGCCACTGCCAAGTTGCCGCTCACGATAGCCTCCCCCAATCCTCCCCGCCGGCAAGCACCAGCGTGTCATCTGCGTAACACACGCATGTGCAGCCGGCGGGGAGTGCCGCGCGCAGCACCTCGTCGTACGCTATGTCCCACAGGAGTGGTCCTAGGACCGACCCCTGCGGGACACCGCGGTCCGCCCTCCAGGTGCGCAACTCGCCATCGCGGTCCACGCACTCGATTGTCCTGCCCCTCAAGGTATTCCCCGATTACTGCGCGCAGATATTCGGGGACCTCCAGTCTCTCTAGCCCCTCCACTATCTTTTGGTGGGGGATGGAGTTGAAGGCGTTTGCCACATCCAAGGCAACCGCCAGCACAACCCCTCCATCCCCCATCATCCTGTCTGATACTTCGCGGACGCACATAATTGCGTCCACGGTAGACCGCCCCTCTCGGAAGCCGAACTGCCTCTCGGACAGGCCAGGTCCAGCAGATTCTACGCGCCCCATGAGTCGGGCCGCTATCACCCTCTCGAAGATCTTACTGGCCTCGTCCAAGAGGCAGATCGGCCTATAGCTCCCGGGCTGTTCCGCCGGCTTCCCCTCTTTGGGGAGGAGCACCAGCCTTGACCTTTTCCACAGCCCCGGAAAGGTGCCCTCCTCCAGGCAGCGGGAGAACAACACCCCCAGCCTTTCGGAGAGCTCCCCCAGGGCTGCTTTCCAGGCTACGCCGGGGATCCCGTCCGGCCCTGGCGCTTTACCCTTTTTGAGCTTTTTAGCTGCTTTGGTCAGTTCCGTCCGGGTAACCCCCAGCTCTTCCCTAAACGGCCGGTGCTCCCCCCCTCTTTGTTCCTCGTTGCGGAGGCCCCTCCTGTCCCCCGCTGGGAGCAACGTCTCTACTACCTCCTGGAGGAATTCCGGCCTCAACGCCCCCACCGTGGGGGGCGCTCCCGAGTTTAGCCTGTTCATAACAAGCCTGTAGGGGCGCCCCCACGGATCCGTGTCTAGGGATTGTATAAGGTCATCCCATGCCCTCTCCTTCGCTAACTTGATGGCCGTTCTCAGGGCCTTTCTTTTCTGCCGGAATTCCTCCAGGAGTCTATCCTCCTCCGCTTGAGTGGTTCTCCTTCTTCTCGCCCGCAGGACGGCTCTCCTGGCGGCCACCGAGGATCTCCTAAGTTCCTCAATTTCATCCGACCACCAGTAGGCCGCCCTGCGTGGGGCGAACCTTGCCCGCGGCACTGTCGCACGCGCTCGTCATGGTTTGCCGCAGCCATGCCACCTCGTCCTCTACCGTAACCGCCGGCTCCGGATGTGTCCATAACGCCACCCCCACTGTCTCTACTAATTTGTCGGCGTCTAGCTTATCGGTCCTCCATCTGACCGCTTCTTCCTGGGCTCCCCTGTTTCTGATCTCCCAGGAAAGCTCTAGCTCTATGGGGAGATGGTCGGAGAGCAGCTCCACGCCCTCCGCCACCCCCCATGATCCTACCATCCTCGCGGCCGCAGGGGAAGTCCACGTCAAGTCGACTATTGACTCCCCCTGCGGCCTCACGCATGTGCTCACCGCTCCCACGTTCTCTAAGTGGAGGCCCAGGCGCGCCGCCCAGGCCTCCACATCCGCTCCTTTGGCGTCTGGTCGCCGGGAACCCCACAGTGCCGATTTGGCATTGAAGTCCCCGGCGACCAGCAGTGGCCCGGAAAGAAACTCCCGGACCACGTCCTCCATTTCTTGCAGCCGGACCTCTAGCTCCGCCCTTGTTAAGCTGGGCCTAATATAGACCCCAATCACTACTAGAGGCCCCCACTCGACTGCGACCCATCCTTCCCCGGCTTTCAGTCTGGACATGGGAGGGGTCCTTTCTCCCATCCGCCTCCAGAGTATAGCAGCCGAGCCGTCCGTGCTCCCTGCCCAGCAGGGATTTTTGGGGACACGGTACGGCTCGGCTACCACTCCGAGCCCACAACCACGCTCTGCCAGGCTGTGTAGAAAGAGGTCCTGAGCCCGGCAGGCGTGGTTGAGGTTCGCTTGGAGCACTTTCATGGCTGTGAAGGCGCCCCCTTGCCAGCCTCCTCCTGGCTGTTTCTTCCTCCTGGTTGCTTCTTTGCCACCTGCACCGCTGGCTCGGTCTCCATCGGCTCCCCTTGTTCGGCTGCCGGGCCCGCAACTATCTCCTTGTCCGTCTTCTTCTTAGTTCGGCCCTCCTCCCGGCTCTTCTTGGCCTCTCTCCTCTTCTCCCCCTTGCTCGGGGGTCTACAGGCTGCCCCTCCAGCCTTGTGGTTGGAGGGCAGCCCTTTCCCGCTACACACCGCACAGTTCGGGGTCTCGCTGCAGCTCTGTGCTTTGTGCCCTTCTTGGCCACACCTATAGCACATCGTGCTCCTATGAATGTTGCTCCTGCATTGGCCCCTGACGTGCCCCCTCTCCAGACATTTGAAACAAACGAGAGGGCGGGGCTCCAGCAGCTCAACCCTGGCTGCTACCCAACCAACCTTAATCTTCTTCGCCGCGGCTACTCTTTTGGCCACCTCAATCCCGCATTGGATCCAGCATGTTCCAAATCCACTGGGAGTATGGCGGATCGAGCCTACCTTGATCTCTTCCTTCGGACCCTCTCCAACCCTAGCCACCGCGTCTCGAACCTCCTCCGTCGTGACGGATTCGTCGAGGTCCTTCATCCGGATCTCCGCCCTTTTTGCGGGGCGGGAGACCCGGACTCCCTTCTCCTCCGCTACCGCCTTGATACGGCTGGCTAGCGAATCCGCTTTCGCCTTCGCTTCTTCACCTCCTGGAATTTCCAGGAGCGTCGCCCCGTTGAGGGCTCTCCTATGCTTTAGACTGCTGATTTCCAATTTCTCCAAGTTAATTTGGGACCTCAGGTATCGCATACCATCCCCCGCTTGGCCTTCAGGGAAGGAGATCGCCACTGCGGGTGTCCTGGGTGCCCTCCTCCTTTTTGGCGCCTCCTTTCCATTCCTCTCTCCCGACGCCTTTTCTCCGGTCTTATTGGTGCCTACAGCTGCCGGCTTAGTGGGCTTCGTCGCCGGCTCCTGCTTTGCACCGCTGGGCTTCTTCTTCCCTCTTCTTACCACCTCTGCCCATGAGGTAGTCGGCTTGGCAGAAGTCTTGTCCTCCTTTCGCGTCTCCTCCTTCCGCATCTTCTCATCCTTCGTGCCTCGAACGATCTGTGCCGCCGCCTCCCTAGCCTTGACCCGAAGTTTGTCCCTAACCGCCTCCACCTTGGTGATTATGGGCAGTTTCTTCGGGTTCTTCTCCTTGCCCAGCTGCTGCTCCCTCGGAATGCGGGTTAACGCACCCTGGCACCTAGTTATAAGGTTCTCCAGGTTTTGTTTAACCTTTTGCGGATCCCCGTTCACCACCTCCTTAATGGAGACTCCCTCCATAACCCTCCTAATGCCTTCCATGGCTTCTTCTGCAGGTGGCTCGTCCAACTCCTTCCTCTCGCCTCTGACCATTGGCCTGCGTACCGCATCCATAGTACTTTTGGCGGACTCCGGTTTTGCCACTTTTAACGTCTCCGCTTTTTGGCTCTGGGCCTTTGGCCGCGCAGATTTCCCCGCTTTCGCGGGTTTCGCAGGGACCTGGACACGGGCCATAACTCGGGGTGGGTTATCTGCCCCGTAGTCCAGTTCTGGCGTCTCCTCCATTTCTGGCGTCTCCTCTGTTGTTGTCCTGCCTTGTCTATTCCGGCTTTCTGCCCTGATCCTGGCCTCTCTCTCTTGGTGAAGAAGGGACATCAGTTCCTTCACCTGCTCCTCGAGACTCTTCACTCTGTCTCTTAGTCTCGCTGTCTCCTCCTCAAGTACCCTGCTGTGAGACCCCGCCGTCTTCGAGGCGATCACTGTGGCTGCGGCTCGGAGGTTCTTCGAGCACACCTTCAATTCTCTCACCCAGGTGCCTTTGAGATTCTTCGATCTCTCGGCAACCTTTAGGACGACATTTACGTTTTCTAGCATCTCCGCTGCTATCTGCGTATTATTGAGACCCTCCATCTGTCTGACGGTCTCCCTCTCTGGCGTGGTGTCCCTAGGAGCAACCTTGGGGTCCAGTGCCTCAGCCAGGGCCTTCCGCTCGGCCTTAAGTCTCTGGATCTCCCTTTTACACTCCGTCTTCTTGAATTTTTTGAGCCCTGCATACGTTGTAGTCGGCCTCCCCCTCTTCTTCCGCTTGCCGGTTACCGCGTCCACTGTCGAGGCCGAAGAAGATTCTTCGTCTGTGAGTGAATCCTCACCCTCGACGTCCACCATGGCCTCCATGTCCGAATCATCCGAATCCATCGGAAGCGGGAGGTCCTTAGCCACTTTGGAGCACGCTGGGCCTGGTTTCGTGCTCTTCACTCTCGTTGCCGGTTCATCGGCACCTTCTTGACGGGGCGTCCTTTGGGACTCTTCCTCCCTACCTCCTGTCCCTTTGGTGTTGCCCATCCTCTTGCTTGTGTGCTTCTCTCCTCTGTTTTTTGGTTGTGTGTGTTTGATGTTAGCCATATCCACAGTTGATTAAAAAACCGGTTCGCCCATCATGGGACCCCCACCGCGGTGGGGGTACTGTCCCCGGTGTTGAAAATCCCTAATTAAGGACCGGGCAGAGGAGATGTTTTTTTCGGGGGAGCCACCCCCTATCCCGGTCAGTGACTCTATAGAAAAGGTCCCTGGAGACGGCCAGGCCCACTATGATGCTATAGTTTTTACTTCACCCCCGGAGAGGGGCGCGCACCGATCCGATCGGCCGCATACCCCTCCCCAGGGCTAGAAGTCGTCAGGGATTTTCCCCCCTCACAGGGTATGAGAGGACGCTGGCTATGCGCCTCTCCACACCCGCGCCCGGACTGCCGGCTTCAACGCCCTGATTGGCTCCAGACGGACGAGACGGGAGCGGTTTTCCCACATTGAACATGCCACTTCCTGCGGACTTTGCCAGTAAATTGGTCTTACAGTCCCGCGTAGTCCATGGCAGAGGTCAGATACAGACGTCACCGCTCGTCCCCGGTCGGGGGGTTTACTACTCCCCCCTTGGTTAGTCTCAGGGAAATATCCACCGGCAGCCGACCGCGGCTCACTCACACACCAAGCACACGACCGGCCCTCCGCCCTCCACGACCGGCCCCGTACGCCAGACCGCACGCCCCAGCAGCGGGACGTCGGCCCCAGACGCAGAAACCAGCCGCTTCGTCGCGGAGGACCGGGTGTTGACCGGCAGGCTTGCCGACCAACCCCACGGACCCCGAGGCCCTGCCT